GAGCGGGGTCGGTGAGGCAGTGACGGTGAGAGCGGGGTCGGTGAGGCAGTGACGGTGAGAGCGGGGCCGGTGGGGCAGTGACAGTGAGAGCGGGGCCGGTGGGGCAGTGACGGTGAGAGCAGGGACGGTGAGGCAGTGACGGTGAGAGCGGGGCCGGTGAGGCAGTGACGGTGAGAGCGGGGTCGTTGAGGCAGTGACGGTGAGAGCGGGGCCGGTCAGGCAGCGACGGTGAGAGTGGGGTCGACGAGGAGGTAGCAGGCTCCAGGGTGTCCTAGCGATTGGAACAGTGCCTGCACCATTGTCGAGATGGGACTAGGGACTCTGAGATCCGGACTTTTTTGTTTCTTGCTTACGATTTGGCTCTGTTAAAATCTTTTAATGCTGTTTTTTGTAACCAAGTGGGTGCCAGTGAATGGTGACTTTGTGCACTTTTCGCTGTACTGATGTATTCCTATACTTAGTGTGACAAATAAATAAATCTAATGTAAATCTAATATAATATAAATCTGTATGGAAGAAATAACATGGAAACTGAAGCCAAATTATTTCATACATCGAGGAGATTTTCCTAAATAAACTCATAGGGTATATATGGGGAAACTTCCAGCATGGTTAACCAATCATTGGACAAAATTCTCAATAGACGGAAAGTTTGAAAGATGCAGGAGTTAAATATATCTAATTGTTGAGAAAATTGTTCAACTAGCACACTTTAACAAAGGATGATGTCTGAGGTTACTAAAGTCAGTGACCTAGAAATTAGATTGCAACTTGACAGTGCACGTAAACAAATATGGGCTTCCTGAGCACATTTGCCTTTGGTATTCATATTATGTATATTTTGGGTTATGCACAGGCTGTAACCAGCTAAATGCAGTACTTTGCAGTCACTGAGAGGATGTCAAAACAGAGTCAGAGTCATATTGATACGTATAGGCTTTCAGAAGCAGTATCAAAATGCCATAACTGCTGAAAGGGTAATATTTCAAGATAAAACACAATAGAAGCATTATTTATTTATCATTTTAGTCTGATTGGATGTATTACAACCTTATTCAATTCAAGTAGAATACATTATGCATTAATTTTAAATTATGCCTAGTCAGAAAATCACCCAATTATTCAACTCAAATCATTTAATGATATGTTGCATCAAGAAAGAATTCTCCATCTCATAGTCACATTTTTCCAGGCTATCAGCACTCTTCCTTGATTCTCCAATGATCTTTCTATAGGTGGCTCAAGAGCCTGTATTCAGTTTTAATTGGTTGAGGCAACTTCCAATCCTTTTGGTAGATCTTTTCACTGATGAAATGACTCACAACTTAAAAACCCATTGCATTTCAAATCTGAAAATAGAAATAAGGAATAGAATTTTTTAAAAAATAGTGATTAAATGACCAACTGTCGAGTGTGATAATAAGATTTTATTTGCTATTAACCTTTGTGTGTATCCCTGAATTATTGTTCAGAATTACTGAGCCAGATTGGATATCATACAAATATATTTTGTATTAAACATTTTTCTTTTCCTTTGATTGCCTCAAACCGTAATAAATTCCATTAGGTTGTTATGATAATTTACGTTTATGCTTGCAATGTTAGTGTAATGTTGTTCAATAATTTGTCTTTCTAATTATTATTGATAATTCAATAATAAATATCTGGTAAGGATAAATAGCAAGTAAACTCTATGAAAACTTGTTCAGAGATAGTAAGAACTGCCGATGCTGGAGTCAGAGAAAGCACAGTGTGGAGCTGGAAGAACACAGCAGGCCAGGCAGCATCAGAGGAGGAGGAAAGTTGACGTTTCGGTTCTGTGAATTAAGGTTTCAATCATTTGTAGTATCTACCTGTGCATTTATTCTCTGCTGTGTCTCTCGTGTTCCTCCTGTGTCAGTCTTTCTAAGGATTTCAAACCTTGAGGTCAGAATTGTCCTGTCTTTTGATTGATGTGAGCAATGATGAGAAAGGTGGGAAAATAAAGTGAAAACAAAAAGGTCAGAATCTCGATATCAAGAGAAACATTTCAGACTTTTGCCTTAATGTTTAAACAATGAGTTCAGAATCACATGAACCATGCTAGACCAGACACCATGAATCTCATTCAAAAAAGCACTGCTGGAAAATGGGAAACTTCAGCAGAAGTAAGTCCAATATATACTTTTCACTCAAATAAACTGGAAGGGGGTTGAACCTTGTGACCTTTTATCTTGCAATTTGGCCTTATCAATGGTCATTTCAAATATGAACACTTGGTGCAAAGATAGAAGATTTGCTGCAAACACTCAAAGGGGAGATAAGCAAGTTCTTCATTGCTGATAGCATTGCATGCTGAAGACACATGGTTGGGAAATCTGTCCCCAGTCACATTTAGGGGTCTGAAAGGTATTTTCCAAAGTCGTTCCTTCCCTAAACAGTACTTTCTCGGAATGTTGTGCAGTTGTTTGTTGGGGAAGTAGAAGGTTGCAAATCACAATAAGTAGGCGGTGAATCAAAAGGTTACAGAACGTGTTTCATAGATATCTGGTCCTTTCCTGTCCCCTTCATTTCCATATGTTCAGATTTCATTGCTTGATTCTCCTCTTCTTTAATCAACCATTCCATTTATCAAGCCGCTTTTGTTTCAAACAACAAAATGAGTGTACTGTCATCTAACTATATTTCTGGAAAGCAGTTTAATGACTGCTCTTCTGCAGCAGTTAATATCAAGATTGTTGTTTATTGAAGGAGAGCCTTTTATTTCACTGACTCATTTGAAAAGCAATTACCAACTTTATGAAGTAAGTTTGGAGGTTAACACATCCTACTTACCAATATTTAGAGGTTAACCAGCTCCAATGTTTGAAACTAACAGCTGAAAATGATAAGAGTAGTGGCATTGTGAGACATTGAACTGTAATTACAAAGGCAGTGAACTTTTACTTTGTCAACTCAGCAGATCCAAGCATCAATGGGATAAAGGTTGAAATAAACCCCTTGATACAGCAAAATAGTTTTCCCTTACTAAGTTTCATCTAGGCTCTCATTACCTGTAGTTATTGACTATTTTTTGGAGTACACTTCCATTCCATTACCACTGCCTCCCCAACTGAGATCAACTAACTCAATACAGACCCGTGACCAAACCCAACTGATGGCTAGTGTGTTTCTCAGGTAGTTATCTGATTTTCTTTCTTGACTATCAGGGCAGTATTACAAGAATGTTAAATACCATGAACTGGGAAATGTGTAAGATGGGAAGTTATGTGTGCAATATTCTCTAAATCTTTAGAAGTGAAAGAGGTAGACATCCCCCCCACCACCTCCCCCACTGGCTCAGTCAACTCATCTAATCAGTAGCTGAGTTACACAAATCAAGACAGTTCTAGTAAGGTTAGTTGCTATTTCATGATTTGTTGGTGCCCAGAGTCAGGATGCGAGAAGAAGTAATTCAATTTTTAAAAAAAAATTCACTTATGAGATGTTGGTGTCACTGGCTGAGCCAGCTTTTATTGCCTATCCTTAGTTTTCCTTGAGAAGGTGGTAGTGAGCTGCCTTCGTGAATGACTGCAATCCAATTATTCTGCAAAATATCAATTCATTTACGGAGATAACAAGGTGCAGAGCTGGATGAACACAGCAGGCCAGGCAGCATCAGAGGAGCAGGAAGGCTGACGTTTCGGGCCTAGACCCTTCTTCAGAATCTCAGATTCTCCAGCATCTGCAGTTCCTGCTATCTCTGAATCAATTCATTTACACTTAGGTTTTGTTTATGTTATGGTCCAGTAGATTGATGAAGAGTAAGCTGTCGTTAAAACTGGTTTAATGCCAGACAGAGAGTGTGTATTCAAATTGCATATTGTATTAATTGTGTCCTAGTGACAAGTAACATCCTACAGCAATCATCCTAGGAATTTTGTTCTTTAAAGTCATAGGTAACTTTGATAAATGAAATTTGATCCACAATAGTGAATATGAAAATCTGATGGGCAGAGATTAAATGTTGCTGTATTAAATATTATTTGTGCAGTTAAGAGCTGTTACAGCTTTTATTCTGATTGTCAATCTCATACCTCATGCTCTCAATCCCTTCTTGCTATCACAGTGTCTCATTTTGTAGTAGATTTGTAGCTCGGGTTGTGGGTGTTGAGGTTGGTTGGTTCGCCGAGCTGGTTTGTTGTTTCACATTTTGTCTCATTTTGTCTCAGTTTTTATGGGTATTACTACGGTGCTTGGAACTTTCATCACTTGCTTGTCTATAATTCAACTCCAACATCATCCACTCTGCTTCCTCACTTTGTTGGAATTATGACTAATGAATCATTCTTTTTTAGAACCTCAAAATCATGGACTTCTTCCCTCCATAGGACCTTCCCTTGCAAGCTTTTAAAAATTGATCAGTTGCCCTCGTTATTACTTCTTGATTTATTTCATCTTCTCTATTATTCTCTTCCGTCTTGGAAGGATCCTTACTACATCTATTTGCTTTCATTTAGGCTTCACATCAAAAGTTAGGAACCCAGAATTTCTTTCATTTTTCTCTTAATCCAGACAAAATGTGTAAATTGAATCAATTTGGGAGACCCATGTGTAAATGTCTTGTTCAAAATTGCATCTTCTCATTTTCTGTCTAATTCACTCATTATATTGTCACCATTATATTGTCATCCATTAACAAATGTTAGTAAAATCTGAAGTTATCAATTCCAGAGAATGAGAGAGGGATTTATAGATGGGAGGAGGCTCATTACTGTTAGCAACGTGTAATGGAAATTTTTATGAGAAAAGAAGATTGAATCAGACAACTAGGTTTGAAGATGTCATTGCTCATTTCTTAAGTACTTTTTCAGTCACATTCAACATTTAAGCTGATAGGTGGAGTCTGATGACTCAATGTTAGATGTATTCAGTGACCCAAATAAAACACATTTCCACAAATACCGAATGAACATAGGTAATGAACTGCAAGTTTATCATATTTTACTTATATTTTAGACTTTTCTACATGTTTGAAAGTGCACAAACATAGGTGCATGAATTCACATCCTGTCAATGTACATTAATTACAAACATCTACAGGCTAGAAAGTGCATCACACCCATTGCAGCGTTAAGCACTCTTGGTCTATATCCTGTGAAAATATGCACCAGTCTTCTACTTGCAGAGTTGGTGAGTCTAAATGTAACAGTTTAAGAATATGCCTCTCACCCTACTGGTTGGAATATGGGATGCTCTGTAAATGTTGAGCTTCCTAGAGCACTGATGTTCAAAATGTGAGCTATCGCCTTTTAATATGCCCATGCATTCCCACTCATCAGAATTGGAGGCAAGCGTTCTTGTGAAACTAATTTTTTTTCTTTTTGTCTTAGCTAGAATTCTTGATTGTTAACATTTCTGACTGAAACAAACTTCAAGGAGAAATTTGACCTGATGCTAAAACCGGTGTGACATTGGTGAAGCAACTGTCTCCACTGTCTGTTCTCATTTCAATAGCAGGTCATGCTGCAGGCATCAGATTGATGAATACTTGGAACTCACTGGCCAATACTTAACTGCGTCACATTAGGAGCTAACCACCTACTAGCGTCGGTGGTGTTGGTTTGAAGGCGGTTGGTGGTGTGCATATGAGTAATGCTCCCTCAGTGCTGCACAGAGCATCATGCAGATTCAGAATCTAGTGCCCAAGACCCTGAAGTGGGACTTAAACCCACAACCTTCTGACTGAGAGGTGACAGTGGGCTGCCATAGAGTCATACAGTATGGACACAGACCCTTCGGTCCAACCGGTCCATGCTGACCATAATCGCAAACAGAACTAGTCCCATCGGCCTGCGCTTGACCCACATACCCCCAAACATTTCTTGTTCACATACTCATCTAAATGTCTTTTAAATACTGTAGCTGGACCCGCACCTACCACTTCCTGTGGAAGTTTATTCCACACATGAAACAAAAAATAGCCCCTCATATCTTTTTTAAATCTTTCTCCTCTCACCTTAAAAATATGCCCCCTAGTCTTGATATCCACCACTCTAGGGAAAAGACACCTGCTATTCAATGCCCCTTATGATTTTATAAATCGCTATAAGGTCACACCTCAACCTCCTACCCTCCAGTGAAAAAAGTCCCAGCCTATCCAGCTTCTCCTCATAACTCAAACCCTCCATTCCCAACAACATCCTGATGAATCCCTTTTGAACCCTCTCCAATTTAAAAGGTTGAATAATTCAAGCTTAAGACTTAGCTTTTTATAATAAGACGAGCAGAACGGGACACAGTACTCCAGAAAACACTTCACCAACGTCAACATAACGTCCCAACTCCTATGCTCAAAAGTCAGAGCAATGAAGGCAGGTGTGCTAAACACTTTCTTAGCCATCTTGGTTATACATGATTCAAACTTCAAAGAATTATATTATGCTGCCAATGAACCACAGTTGACATCTACTGGCTGCAGACAGGTATCTACAGTATTACAGGTATTTAGAAGTTAGCACCAAACTGCAGCCTACTCAACAAAACAGGTATGTATTTGTTCAACTGTTGTGGCTAATGGCAATATCAGGTAAATAGTGGCTATTATGTTCTTGAACTGAAGTCCTCACCATATGACCACGAGTCAGTCTCTAGTGAATAATTCCACTCTAGAAACCAAAGCAACAACCAAACAAGCATGTAGATACAAAATAATAGAACACATTCCCGATTGCTGAACCATAAAAGAATATAGTATGAAGAAATATGAGCAGAATCCTTGAATAAAATTTGGATCATATTAACTTATGCCTGCAAGCATCCAGTTCTCTCAGCTCCACTAAGAAACCAATTCGGGATGAAAAACAAGCAAAAAAGCAACAAAATAAATATTATACAGCATCAAAAGAGGCATTATTCAAACTTGTGAAAATTAAAGGAATTAATACATTTATACTGAAGGATGTAAAATGGAGCTGGTGTAGAGGAAATCATATTGTATTTTGCACAAAAAAAAACTCAAGGTACTTTTGTCTGGAATTAATCCATCTCCAGCAATCATGAATAGCAAAATGTAATCAAATAAGCCCCTCCAGAATTTGCATAAATTAATTTAATTAAGCTTAAATAGCTGAAAACAAAATGTAATTATTAGGCCCTGTAATCTCGTTGTTAGCATTCTTGCAGTTGAAGTTGCAGAAGCTGAATTTAAGCTGAGCTGTAGGACTTGTGTACACTATCTAAGCTGACAATTTAGTATTTAGGGAATGCTGCATTGTTTAAAGTGATGTTTGTATAGTAGAGGTATAATCAGTTCTTGAATATTTAAGATTCAATGGAACCATGGGAATAGAAGCAGAAATGTTCTAGTGTTCTGGTTACCATTACATCTCAACAAAAGCTACCAGCAACACATTACTTGGCCATTCATTCCATTGTTTTTATTGGTGGAGTCTGGCTGCACAACAATGATGATGGGCCCAATTTTAACACTAAACAAGTGGATGGCTTTTGAACGGGTTTAAATTGGATCCTGTGCTTCAAAATCACTTTGGGGTGGATAGAGGATTCGTAAAGATTGGATACAGATCTTAAAAAATAATATTCATTTTCACTTTCTTCCAGTATACTGAGGCTGAGGGTTTATTGGAATTTTCTATTACTGGTTTGGGATGTTCAATCACGTTGCTGATTCTTAAGCCCCTTGCTAAACTTTGTATACACCGGTTGAGGGAATCTTGATTTTCTCCAGCTGTAGTAGTAAATTTAATTTGTTATGCATTGGATTTGCACCTATTTTAAGTGCGAGGATTTAGAACAACAAACTGATGTAACGCAAAACAAATCTTTTACAGTTAGAGCTTATGTAGACAAAACTGTCACTGTTAGTGCACGATGCCTGTACCAATTGCACACTCATTTTATCTAAGACTATCAGAACACGTTCAAATACTTTGAGAGTGCCTCAGTTGGCCCAGTGGATAACATAGGTCCCAATATATAATTGAGCTGTGTTAGAATTTTGATCCTTGACTTATGCTGAGTTGCCTTATCTCGGAAGTGAAGTTTTGGGGAACTGCAATATTCCTCAATACATCTGGCTACTGAAAAACACAGAGGAAGTCTGAAAGACCAATATTATTTTGTATATACTGTTTATACTGCAGCTTGATTTTACAAGGCTGGTGCTAGGTAATAAATTTAAAACAGTTTCAACACTTTAATGATCTGGGGTCTTACAGGCAAGCTGGCTCAATCCTCATCCAACATTGCCAACGCTCTCTCCTTGACAATTTGAACTTGCATTGATTACACAAGTTTAAACAAAATCAAGGAGTACAGGATTAATGGGAGAATTGTCATGGTAGTCACATTACTCATCAAACATACAGATGATATATTTCCCAGTGCAGATCATTACATGGCACTCAGGGATAGACACCCTTCATAGTCAACTAGACAGAGGACTATTGTTCCGGGAAAGTACAATTCTGATGCCAAATCATAATGGACCACCTATACACAGAGAAATGAATTGAGTTAGAGCACACGCATGCAAAACAATGCTTCCATCTTACAATGTACCTAAATGATCCAGTGCACCCAGGAAAATCTCCAGAATGGCTGTGCATTGATATCCTTTAGTCCACTTTCCCTGTGAAATTGCATTGGTGTAGAGGCCCAGGGGAAAATTCCAGCTCTTGTGCTTCTGCTTTTGCTGGAGAAACAAAATACAATAACCACATCAGTGTAGAGACTTAGAATGATATCTCTATGCTTTTATTTTGACGCAGGCTGCTAGTGTTACTTTCAGATTGGCCTACTTTGGGTCTGGTGAATTGCAGAAACTTTCCATTTGCTGCAAATAGCATGAAACTCAAAGGAAGTTTGATTAGATGCAAAGTAATAACTGTAAGTTTCTTTCAACACTTTAACTTTGTGGCCCATATTTAAATATGAAAAAGATGAAAATCGAACAGGAAATCAGTGCATATTTTTGTTATTAAAGAAGGAACATTTTGTCACAGGCGTAGTTGACTACGTTGTGGTAAATGCAGTAATGAGCAAACATCTATAGAAGTCCCATCAGCAAACAAATACCATGGAGAAGCTAGCAATAGACCTCAGCTTCATTATCTTGAGCTGATCAATTAGGGGGAATTAAAAAGTGACAGAGAATAATGGATCAGAAAGCGCATGCTTTGGTTGATTTGAAATTCCTGGTGATCCTGATTATGCTTTGGTTTTCTGGATCACATGCAAGTAAGTCCCATAATATTTCTCTTTTCATTCTACGTAGGTTATTATGGCATCATCTAGTTGCATAATATTGAGGTAGTCAGTTGTAATAATTGCATCAGTGAATTAACATGTAACAATTGAAAACAGAACAAGTGCTCAAAAATATTCGAAATATTACAAGTTAATGCAACCTTGATGATTTTAATGCAAAATTATGATAATTTATGAGTTTTTGGTGACACATTTAGCACTGTGTCATACAAGGTTATGGGTTTAATTCCCACTCTAGAGCTTTGAGCACAGAAATCCAGGCAAATACTCCTGTGATGCTAAAATGAGACCCTAGTTGTTTTTTCAGGGAACCATTAAAGATCTTGCGGTGCTTTTCCAAAGAACAGCATGATGTTTGTCCCCAGTATCTTGGCAAACATACCTCTTCCATTCGAGATCAAAAACAGATATCAAATCTTTCTCACACTGCTGTTTGTACAATCTTGCCATGCAAAAATTGGCCATGTGTTTCCTAAATTATAATTAGGGCAACACTTCATTGGGTGTAATGTGCTTTTGGACATCTGCGGGTTACAAAAACAAAATGCCATATCAAGGCAAATCCTTCTTTCTCTCTTTCCTTTTCCTGCTCCAGTTTCATTGCTCCCTCCTTTCCAATTCTAATCATGGTCTTTCACACTTGAATTTAACTAGTTACTCAGTCAAGGGAACCAAATGCCTGGACAGAGTCCACACAATTTTTCTCTCCAGTTATGTTAATATATGACTATTTTCACAGCCTCCAACATAGGTGGTCAGTCCACCTCAGTGGATTTTCCTCCACCTTGTCCATCTGGTTAATTGATCTTTCAATTACCTCAGTCGATTTCCAGCATTAATCTATGCGTTCATGTCAAGTGTATTTCTGAGCTGATCGCTTTCATCTCATTGGGCTGAGGGACTCTGGGAATATATCTTATCTCCTCCACCCCTACACTGAGTGGGATCAATTGATTTAGCACAGATCACTGAAAAAAAAACCCAAGCTCTTCTTGATTGATATGAATGACTATTATTTCACATGACTATTTACCTTTTGTGTTATTGGGGCAATAACCTCCATCTCATTTCTGAAAGAATAACTTCAACAGGTATTTGTTTGTGTGACCTGTCTTCAGCATTTGAACAATATTGTGAGCTACAAACAAATAGCCATTGTTCCAGAAATAAGATCTAGAGAATTTTAACTCCTGGAGCTTGTTTAATTTCTATTAGTCAACTTTCTGCCCTTCAAGTTTCAGATGCTGCCTGCTTTTGACAGGTTAGTAATAAACTTAGCTGCCAGTTCCTTTCAGTGTCTCACAATGGGGGAGCATTGGGTGTCTGTGGATGTGAAGGCCTGAGTTCCTATCCACACTTGCTATTATTGGCACCAAAAGGAAAGTAAGAAAGAAAACAGTTTAAAGGAACATACACTTTTGAGGATCTGCCCTGATTTCTTTCCCCAATAGGTTGACCTAGCAGAAAACTCAGTGCCATTTTCCTGAACAGGCCTCCATTTTGCAATCGCATTTGGGAACACCGCTGGCACTTGACACATATGTACATTAAGGAGCACCTACTGACTTTGGGTTTTTGCTGCCTGTTCAGTTGAATAGGGGATGAGGATGCAATTAAGATAGTAGTCAGAAAATTCAGGAATGTGCTACCATGTAGGGTTGCTGGAGATTGTAGAGTAGATTGGAACGTTATCATAGCAATCCAGTATATAAACTCTTGGTAGTAATGAGTTATTTTTCTTACATATCAGCTTGTAACACTTCTATAAATTCCTTGTTCCAGTACGTATACACGTGCAAGACTGTTGCCTCAAATATTCAAAGGGATCACTTCCATTTATGCGCATTGCTGGCTATGTGGAACAGAAGTCCAATGAAGTTTGCAGAATAGATGTAATTGTGTGAGTAGGATTAGAGATCTAAAAGTCAAATCATTTCTAAATGACACCATTTCATTTAAAGCCAATCAAAAGTTAATCTTTTCCATCACTTATTTTGACAGACTGTATACTGTGAAAGGTTGGTGGGTTTGTGCAAATCCAGAAAATGCATGGGTGAAACGTGCACTTCGCTATTTAAGGTAAAAGCACAATCTTTGCTTTCATCCACCCAAAGACTCTGTATATGTAACAGATTAATAAGAACCTTTGATTATCGTGGAATTTCAATGACATAGCCCCACCTGTCAGTATTATTCAGACTGGTACATAATTGGGTATAAAACTATTTTAAGTCTGATCATTAGAAATATTAGCTCTCAGTGGATTTTTTGTTGCTTAGTTTGAAGAAGTTGCCAAAAATACTAATAAGAAAGAAACTTATCTCCTGTTCCCTATGTAGGGATCAAAGTGGGAATAATGTTTTTATCTCCTGTTCCCTATGTAGGGATCAAAGTGGGAATAATGTTTTAAAGGGTATATAATTAAGATGGTTTTTTTTGGTTTTTAGTGAGAAGCTGGAGAAAATGTCCCATAAAAACAAAGTTCCTCAACCTACAGCAGCAGGAGTTAACTGAAGTCCTATTACCATCTTACAAGGTTATTTTACAGTTTCTTGTAACAGTTAAATCTTAAGTGTTTTAAGTTTATTAAAGCCATTCTGTAGTATTAGGTGCTGAAATGACATGTTCAAACTGTGTATATATTGATTTAGTTATGACCATGTTTTCTGAAAATGAGAGGCTGCATTTAAAATTAATTTCTGACATATTATCTTCAAATAAAGTGTTTCTGCATTCACTGACAATATGTTGATGTGGAGTTTCAGAGACGCTGATGCCTTTGAATATTGGGGCTGATGGATTTTTTCTCTTGTTGGCAATAGACATTGCCTATAAATTTTGTGGTCTGAATGTTACTTGCCTCATATCAGAATGTCATCTAGCTCTTGCTGAATGTAGATATGAACTGGTTTATTGTCTGAGGAGCTGAGAATAATACAAAATAATGTACAACTATCAGAGGGCAGCCCAAGAGGGAATCAGCATCGGTAATCAATAAGACGTTTCCTTGGCTGTGCTTGACCTAATTCGACTTCTTGCAGTCTGATATTATTAGGTTGTACTTAATAAAGTCAACACGATCTCACCAAACAGCCTTATTTTGTCTCTTTAGGGACAGCCTTCTGAAGTAAGTGTCACTTAGGAGTTATTTGGATAGCAGTGAGCCTTCTCTGCAAATACTGTAGGGGCTGAAGCCCTACCCACTGATAATTGGCAGCCAAACTGATGGTCTATTGAGTGGCCGCGCCACTGGTGAGCTTGTGGTTCCTGCTGGTACAACACCCATGTAATGGCAGGATGGGCATCACAGAGGTGGGTGCTAGTATACTGAGGGCAAAGGGTGGCTCTCAGAGACCACCATTCCCTGCAACATTCCTGATGTCAGTTTCCTCAATTTGACAGTAATGTCTTTGAACAGGGTACACCTCCTTGGGTTCCCAGGAGTTACTTTGCACGTGTTTACTTGTTGTGTTTCCCAAAAGGTGAGCAGTTGCACAATGCTAGATTAATATCACCAGCAGTGAGATAAGCCCCTTCACTGGATATTAATTGTCCACATAAGGACTTCAATTGAGATGAGGCCATGACATTTCCATGACACTTACCCTCGCAGACTGAAGTGGAGGGGAGGTGGGAATGATGTGGGTGTCAATAGCTGCCACTCTCCCGCTTGTTAAAATGCCTCTGGTACAACTAATCTTGCCATCAGGGAGGAAATTAAATTAAATGAATATTCTCAGGGACACACGCTCCGGACGACATACCACTTTGTTTTGGTGGGTCTAGTTTGCTGATGGTATTGATGTAACCAAGGATGGTGATGATAGACGGACAGGTCTGAGGCATTGGCTGTATGGTATGATTCCGTGACAGTGACTATGTGAAACTATTGCTCAACTAGTCTATGAGGCAGCTTTTTCAATTTTGGCACAAGCCTCAAAATGTTTGTGAGGAGTGTTTTGCTGCATTGAACAGATCAGATATATTTTTGTCATTTCCAGTGCCCAGTTCAATGTTGGGTTTGCTTTCCTGTTATAAGCCTTTCTGCAGAGGTTTGATACAACTGAATGGCTTGCTCGATCGTTTCATTTTGATGCTTCCTTATATTTCCAACAAGTTATTTGTAACTCTGTTTCTGTGTATTGCCACAAAATGTTACATTAATGTGTGTGTTATTTGGTCAACAAATTACAATGTTGTTATTCTATCATAATAAAACAATGTTAAACCCGTGTTCGACTTTGGTTATTTCTGACTGTTTCCGATGAAGAATGAATCTATTTTGTCTACTTTGTTATGTTAACTAATGCCCTCTGTTCTGTTTGTTTACAGTGCCTGTTTAAAATTGAAGCACAATAGTCCCTGTCAGAAATTGCTTAGAACAAAGAATTTGCATTTGCATCTTCATAGCCAACAGTACATCTTGAAGAATGGTCATTGTAGTGCAAAGAAATGCAGCCAGGTCTAGTTGCATATGACAAGGATTCTGAAGGTCTATGTTGTAGTGTTAATTGCAGGATAAGTACTGGCCAGTCCTCAACTTCTCTTCTCCAAGTAGTATCTTGGGATCTTTTAAGTCCGTTTGAGAAGGCTGATGTCATCTTGGTTTCATGAATCACCTGAAAAGTATCATTTTGGAAGTGGAGCTCTTCCTCAGTACATCACAGAAATGGAAGAGGCTGAGAGGTGAAGGGTGGAAATTCCAAAGCTTAAACCTTGGAAGGTGCAGTTGCCATTGAGAATGTGCAAATGGCCAGCACTGGAAGAGAACAGACTTCTTTATGTGTTGCAGGGCTGGAGGAGGTTACAGAGATAGAAAGGTACAAAGCGATGGAGAGTTTTGAAAATATTAAAATTGAGGCTAGACTTGGAGCCATTCTTGATTGGTGCAATTACATATGAAACTGTTTGATTATTTACGGGATAACAAGGTGTAGAGCTGGATGAACACAGCAGGCCAAGCAGCATCTGAAGAAGGGTCTAGGCCCGAAACGTCAGCCTTCCTGCTCCTTTGATGCTGCTTGGCCTGCTGTGTTCATCCAGCTCTACACCTTGTTCTCTCAGATTCTCCAGCATCTGCAGTTCCTACTATCTCTGATTATTTATGAGGTTGCATCAAGCATATGGATGAACAGGATTTGGTATGAATTAGGATTACGGTGGGTGAATTTTGTTAGAGATCAAGTTTCTGTAGGGTGACAGATGATGGGCTAATCAGTCATGGTTTGGAATAGTCAAAACTAGAGGGAATGAAGGCATGGAGGATTTCAACAGAAGAACTAAAGCAGAACTGGAGCTGGCTGATATAATAAATGTGGAAGTAAGCATCTTAATGATGGAGTGGATGTGTGGTCTAAAGCCCATTGTAGAGCTCCTCTGCCAGTAGGTTTGGAAGACCTGCACAATTCCCAGGCTGGGCTTAGGATGACCTCCTATCCACCTTTGATCACTATTTTTCATGGCGTTATTGAGGTCAAGTGTGCCCTACCCTCTATTGCTCTAATTGAGGCTTTTAACTTAAAGGCAGCTTTCCAACCAGCCTCAATTTTGCAGTAGACAGGAGAGATTCAGGAGAGTGGGAAACCTGGCAAGTCTTCCACCTTAGGATTTTGGTGAGAAGGGAGCTGCCTCATTCAATGGCCCCCTTTCCATATTGGGCATCACCTGTAATGTTCTCATCCTGGCATCTCCCAACCCTCCCCGGCCTGGCTTCACCTCACCTTCCCTTCCTGCTGTGAGACTCTCCGAACTGAATATACCTGGCCCAGGACTCTGTGAATTTGAATCTGGGGACTGCTGTGGTCCCAGTTGTGGCTACTGCTGGTTCTGGCATTGCTGAGCAACTCTGAGGCAGGGCCTGAGTAAGGGTTGGAAGATTTGCCTGTAGCCCACTAACATTCCTTGGAGAGTTGAAAGCCCGCCAGGCAGTTAAGATTGGCAGAAATACATCCCCTACCAATACCTCCAGTGGCACGGCAGTAAAATCTCCCATCAGAAAAGTTCTGCCCCAAGTTTGCAAATGTTCTAGTTCATCCTTGGATATCTTCCAAGGAGAGAAATGGAGCCAGTGGTGAGGGTATGATGTTTGTGACAGGGGTCAAAGATTGTGGCTTTTGATCTTACTCAATTAGAAGAAATTTTTGGTTACCTTATATTAGATGTGGGACAGCAGTGAGACAAATTACAGGGGTTGAGAGAGCTAGAACTGGGTATCATGAATATGACAGCAGAATAACAAAGTGGCACTTACCTAGTAACCATTGAACTTCAGTCCCATCGTAGCACATTGTGCATTCCAATTCCATTTATTAAATTAATCTGAAATAAAAAGCTCATCTTAGTTCATTTGATTTGTCATGAAAACCCATCTTGTTCACTGGTGTTCTTTTGCAACAGAAACCTAATCATTCTTACCTGCCCTGAAGACCTCAGCTCCACAGCAATGCACTTGTATCCTCCTGAAATGGATACAGGGTCACTCATTTACATCAACAGTTTTTTTGACATGAAGAGCAACAAAGGGCTGTTAAAAACTGACTGGTTTTGTAGGGGCAAGTATCAAATTGATAAAGGACTCTAGGAGATAAGAGTCAAACACAGGCAAATGGGACTAGTTTGGGAAACCTGATCATCATGAACGAGTTGGATTGAAGGGTTTATTTCCGTGCTGTATGACTGTAAGACTCTGTTTATTTTGACATTTCATACACCTTTATGAAGAAAAGCTTTAACAGAGGGATTCAAAAGTTACTGTGCTGAATTACAAAACTCCTTCAAATTTCATACAGATTACAGCATGAACATTACAGTTCTCACATTCAATTTCCCATATTATCTTTTTTTCCCACAGTCTTTGTGATCTATTTCTTACCCCAAGGCCTTTGATAGCTATTAACCTTGACAACCTGGATGCCTTGTTTGTTAGCTCTAGCTTCACATATTACTAACTACTTAGCGAAAACTTTAACTGTTACTAATTTGACCCTCTCAATGGTGACATTGTCAATGAAAATAAGGAGATGGCTAAGGTGATGAACAATTAGGGGATGTGATAGCTAGTGGTATTATCGCTGGGCTGTTATTCCAGAGACCCAGGTATATTCTGGGGTTCTGGGTTCAAATCTGGCCACAGCGGCTGGTGGAATTTGAATTCATTAATATCTAGGATCAAGAGTCTATTGACCAGGAAGCCATTGCTGAGTGTCAGGAAAAACCCATCTGGGGCCATTTAGGGAAGGAAACTGCCATCATTACCTGGTCTGCCATACATGTAACTCCCCTGACTGATTTTGTGCAGCTCCCAGACTGACTTACCGTGAATTTCCAGACTGATTGCACTGGAGCTGCAACATATCCATCCCTCTGGCTGATCACTGCTGGCAAATATGAAAAGCTAGCAAAAAACTGTAGCTTCTAAATGTGCAAAAATGTACAAAGCAGAGATGCTACGAGCAGATATGCAAATACATAGTGAGCAAGCTAAGAGCTCAAAGATCACTGTGTTCTGGTGCATGTGATGGGTAACGTAATGATTAGA